AGAGTTGGTGCTTGTTCTCTTTGGCTTTTTCATGTGACCTCAAATTCAGTCTCTTTCCAGTGTTCCTGGCAATTGCTGCAGGGGCTGTATTGGGGAAGGGAGAAGAAAAGAAAGGGAGGACAGCATAGAGCACCAGAATGGCACTGCACTAGTTGCAGAGCAGGCAAGAGCACACCCAGATGCTCTGCAGCATTCCACCCAGCCCAGTTACCTCTGCTTGAGGTTTCTCTTTTGACTTTCTTTTGGACTTTCCTTGCCTAAGCCATTGCAGTGTGTTGCCAAGGTTCCTGAATTTTAGGTGGCACTACACTGAGTAAAGCAGAAAGGGAGCAGGTGAGCTCTCAAATCATGTTACATCAAAAGCACTATGAGTGTATGTGTTTGCATGGGGTGGGTATGGATGCAAGGAATGGAAATGGAAATGAGTTCAAATGTAAAGAGTACAATAAGATTTGCAGTTCAGGGACTTTCCACTGCACTCATCAGTCACTCTTTACCCACAGTGCTGATACACATGTTCTCAACATTGGTAACACATGCTTCAAATCTAAAATGAGCAATGAAACAGTCCCTCCCAACATGAATGTGCCATTCATGAAAGATGTATGCTGAGTCTGCAAGAACACCAAATATGCTTTAATTGCAGCTCTGGGTGGTGCTACTGGCAAAGGTGTAAAACTGCTGCATTTTGTTTTGAGCTGCATAGGCTCATTAAGAAATGGAAACATTTGTGGTCTTTTATACAGTCTTTCTGCCCTGGGATGTTTAAGTTAGATGACTTTTAGCATGGTGAGGCAGGCTGTAAAGGTTCAGAGAATTACCTTGATGATATGATGGCCTCTTCCATTTCAGCTGGAATCCAAAGCTCATCTTTCCTCTGAGGTATTTGTGGAAATTCTGTGCACAATTTGTTCCTCTGGTTGTTCAACAATGTCTCTCATGTTTGCCCTGATTTAAAAAATCCTCCTTTGTAGTAGAGATAACATAGAGCAGGATGATATAATTGCAGTAAAGAGGCCCTGGAGCTTGCAGTAATAGGATGGTTCATCTGATGTGTACTGCCATTAGAAAATAACCCACGTATGTATGTTCTCGGGGGACTGTAAAGAGGCTTTTAAGGATTACTCTTCATGTAGTATGAAAGCTAATGAGCAAAAGAGCAAGTGCAAAGAAAACTATTGCTGCATAAGCATGTTGCCACTTCCTGTTCTTGCTTTTCTTACACCTGTGTAGCTCCAAAATATCCACCTCTGCCCACTAATGCCTGGTTTCTTATGCACTATAGTAGTTTTCAAGACTTTTGAGAATACAGCATTATTTCCATGTCACTGAAAAGTAAATTGCACATAAAAAGCATGGCGTAGTTTAAGACTGTGCTCTGTGTGTACAAATTAAGTAATTCTGGTGGAGTGGCACTCTCTGATAGTCTGTGCCTGAGGAAAAAAAAAAAATATATATATAGTTTCAAAAACAGTGCTAATTGTTCGTCTCAATTCTCCCACCTCCACTCTTTTTCTTGGCTAGAGTGCAGAAACATACAAAGATATCAATATCCAGTAAACACTGGAGGACCTGTTTCAAATATTATGTGGAGAATTTGGGCTGCAGTGATAGGAAATTCAGAACAGCTGGTTTCTGATATTAACAACTTCTTGTCCAAATGGATTGCCAATTGTTCTACTTTCATTTGTGCTGAAACAGAAGCCATATAGCAGTCCAGATATTATTTTTTTTGTTTTGTCACAGCATTTTTTTCTTGCTTATAAAGCTTGTTGTAGATAAAAAGATAATTCACTTTTTAATATTCTGTACTTCCTCTGCAATGTTGGAATATACTTTTGTGCCTTGTCATATTTTTAGGTTCAGTAGAATGGACAAACCTGCCTCTTTCTTCATGTATTTAACACAATAAAGGGTCAGGCTTTCCTGTCAGATAAAATGAAATGGCTTTATTTAGCTGCAGAACCTTCAAGAAGATGCTGGATTTTGACTAAATGATATACTGGGTTCTACAGCATGGTCCGACATCCATAGCTTCCAAAGGGTACTGATCATAAAAAAAAAAAAGTCCATGAATATTAAGTAAGGAAGAGATGACAGCCAGCATCTTTGCAAAGATACACACATGCCAGTAAACTTCTCAAACATCCCCATTTCTACTAAAAAGTCATTAAATATTCAAGAGTACCTCCTTCTGGACAAAGAGGGACTTCTTTTCTCTTAAAGTCTAAGAAGATTCTGTTACAACCTATTTGCTCCCATCTAATTAAATTGGAAGTATGTTAAGAGTGCATGTGAAGTATTTGTATTGAGGCTTTTCTGTATGGTCAGAGCATTGCAAAAGGCTTACACAAGGAGTAGGAGAAGGGTCTTACTCTCACTTTCAGGGATGTAACTGATGTACTCTGCAGGTTGGGACAGGGTGACAGGTGCACATGTCCTGTGGTCAGGAGAAGTCACTGAAGTCCTTGAAGGGTGTTGGAATAAGATTGTTAAAATAATAATGTATAACCCAGTGGACCTCAGCTTTTCAGTCTATCTCCTTTTCATATTTCTCCACCTAAAACCTGCAGTGGTTATGTCATGTACTAAGCAGTGCTTGCTAGTACAGAGGAGATTTTCAGGGCTGCGTGTTTATACGTGTGTGTGTGTGTATCATTGGAACTAAATAGTATTTAAGATCCCTTCCAACCAAACCCATTCTGTGACTCTATGGTGTTGTAATACCCCCAGGAGATCATGCCTATGCATTCATCATGTGGGTAGCTGCTTCAGCCTTTCCATGATTTTTTGTTTCAGTTTGGTAGTCATGCCTGCACTGGGTCATAAATCTGTCATATTTGGAGAATATGGAGCACAAAGCTGAGGTGAAGAGAGAGCTGTGTATTTAAACACACAGCAGGTCATTTGCAGTAGCCTCACAAAAGTAATGTTAATGTAATCATATTTACTAGAGATAGCAGAAGGGCTGCTTTCTACTTGGTTCCAGTGGTGTCTGTCTGTCTCTGCAGAGCACCAGTCTGCCACCCTGTGCTGGTGCACTGCAATCCAGTTCTCTGAGCCCAAACCCAGTGCTGGATTACATTCCCCAAAAGAGTCACTTGATCCCTGGCTCACTATCCGTCTATGGTTCTTTACACTTCTGGGACTTAACTTTAACAACTGGAGGTGACAGGAGATGAATTTCATGTTACTGTTTCTGCTGTCAGTTGACACCCCTCTGCTTAAACTTCCAGTCCTGCAAATACTAGAAGAGTAATGCTAATTTTTTTTTATTTCTATCCTTTATCCCCTCCCCCCCATAATTGGTGTACTGGAGCAGAAGAGGACTTGCAATTTTATTATTGCTGTATAAGGCTTCTATAAACTCAGCTACAGCAGTTCTGATGTTGGTAATTTTTATGACTAAAAAATATGCTGACACAGCTGACACAGTGTTTGGGCATAGGAAAAGAGCAAATCTGAATGTATAATAATCTGGTGAGTTTGGGAGATGTTTAATGCTATATCCCAGCCAAGTTAATCACCCATGGAATTTTTTTAAAATTTTGCTCAGTTGACTGGAGACATTAATCTCTGGAATGGCATCTTTAATGCCAAATACTTGACCAGAAATCTCAACATTTCCCTGGCATAAGAACAGATTCAGAAGGAAAGCTATCAATTGACAATAGACCAGCAGAAAGAGAGACATTTGTTACTTTATTTCTCTTACATAATGAAGAAATATCCAGATGATGGTTTTCACTTTGTGAAGTATATTGGTACTGTATTCATGAATATAAATTGAGCAGACGTGACAATTTTTTCATAGAAGGATGACACAGAGTTGCTCCTTCTGGTAGTTCTTTGTCTGAAATATGCTTATTTTAAAAACATCACTACAGAATTAATAGTGCACTGCATAGCTGCGTGTTAAAAATATGAGTGCTAAAGAACACAGAATATGTTAAGGAGAAATTATTCATAGATTTATAATACCTATGTCTGGCCGTATTTTTCAAGGGCAGGCTCTTTCTGCATATTTCTTTCCTTTCCTGCTTTTTCTGAGAAGTTCTTAATTGCTAAATATCACCATCACCCAACCAGCCCAGTTCCATCTGTCTAGGCTCATTCCCAGGCAAAATTGCATTGCTGCTGAGCAATTTTTTATTTGTGCTTGCCTTCCCATCCACACTGCTGCCTCATTAGTGGCTTGGCTCTCTAGATCATCCAGTCTTTGCCCGTTTCTCCATTATTCCTAGAGGAGCCATCCCAGCAGAAAATCTGCAATATTGTGGTGGCTTTGAACACAGTGTTAGTCACAGGTTAAAACAGAAGCATCAGCTTCTCATCCTTGTGCAGGCACTGGTGTGTTAGCAGTGTTCCTACCAAGCAATGGGGAGGATGCTCCCTAATTTATTATTTTTCCTGCTTTGACACACATGAAAATAGTATGGTGGATTATTACCCTTAATATGCTCTAATTAAATAAAAAACTTTGCAAATGATAGCTAGTGTGTCAAGAGATGTTCTACTTGATTATTTTAAATAAAGACTTCTCTGTTTATATTGTGCTAGGGAGCTGCATTGCAAGAGGGTAAGGTAAGAAATGCGACCTGAAAGAAATTGTCAGATTAGACTGTGAAGGTCAAATGCTGGTGTCCTTGAAGTTGTTTTTCCTCTGAGGAAATAATCAAAAAACAGTAGCACCCTGTGTATTTTTAGGGCTTTACAGCCCTGTGCTGCAGTCAGACAGTCCTCCAGGTAGTCTCTGCCACAGTATCAAAAAGGAAAATAGAAGTGTGCTGCCCACTCAGGTCAGCCTGCCAGGGCTGCCAGCTCATGGCATTTGTTTATTGCACTTTGGTTTTCATTTACAGTAACATTTCTGCAGGAACAAGTAACTTTTTAACTAAAAATGCAGGTATAAACGATGGGATCATTTACTATACCTTAGAACTGTTGTAATTTTGACCCTATAAGCAACAGGGTATTTGAAGACGTCTTTCCTCTTCCAGGTTACCAGCCTGTCCTGCCGAACCAGCAGCAGGGGTTCCAGGGTCTCATGGGAATGCAGCAGCCACCCCAAAGCCAGAACCTGATGAATAATCAACAGGGGAATCAGGTGCAAGGCATGATGGTGCAGTATCCAGCCATGTCATCCTATCAGGTATTTAGGAGCTGTAAGGAAAGACTTTTTTCTTGGAGAATGCTCTATTGAATTAGGTTTTTGCATCACACAGTGCCCTTATAACTTCATTTGGTTAGTGTGTGGCAGGAAGCTTTCTGATGAATACTCTTTTAAGTCAGTTTCTTTGCTTCCTATTTACCTGGTTTTAGTACTCCTGATTTTTGTTCTGATTTTGAAATGCTTCAAATGAACTATTTATTGCAGTCTGCAGTGAGGCTAATGTCACAAAGAACGAAGGAATTAGACTTCTTCCTGTGAAGAAAATTAATTTAAAAAAATATAAGAACATTGTTCATTTCTTCTCTTTTTTGCCAGTGCAGTACTGTTTCCTGTAATGAAGTTGAGGGCTTTGCCTGATCCAGTTAAAAATTACTCATCTGTGGAGACTCCTGCCAAGGATCTCACCATGTCTTCTATAACAAGCTGTAGCCAGATGGATTATTGTTTATTGGGTTCTGGGGAGAGGGAAGGCAGTGGCTTGATTTTTACCAAGTCCGTAAGTTACCCAGACTTATTTCCCAACCTTTATACCTAGTTTCCTTGAGTTATGCCAAGCGCTTGTGAGAGGTGGCCTGTGCTTACACTTCCTTCTGGTCCCTCTGGAAAGTTAAGAAACTAAGTGACACCTAAATCATTTTAATAGATTGCACTGATTGAGCAGCCATTCCCCTTTTCCCTCAGCTTCTTTGAAAACACTTAGTGACACAGATGGAAATAGGGAAATTGCTTGAGGGTAAAGCTTTCCTCTTACATTTTCAGGATTATTATATCAAAAACATGTTTTAAAGGTTAATGATCAAGTTAAAGGTTTAGACCTTTTAGATGGCCTAGATATACCAGGGCTGAGTCTTCTGTTTGCATTGATCCCAGTAATGCATATTCTACTAGGTCATGACAGAGACGCTTTCTAGGCCTACAAGCAGAGGGATTTATCTTTAAAACCTTCTGTAACAAAAAAAAACTCAGAGATGAGAACAATCCTGAGCAGCAGAAAATAGGACATTTTGGCACAACACAGTACACTCAAATTCATCTAGAAGGAATATAGGGATACTGGGAGCCTACTTTAACTTGCTTAGTAATTGCTGTCTTTTTCTCCCTACGTCTTTCCGTATTCCTACCTAGGTGCCAATGACCCAGGGTTCTCAAGGATTGCCGCAACAATCATATCAACAACCAATCATGCTACCTAATCAATCAGCTCAAGGAACACTTACAGCCACTGGAATGCCTGTCTACTGTAATGTCATACCTCCGGCCCCACAGAACAACCTCCGGTTGATTGCCCCACACTGCCCCTCCAATAACGTTCCAGTTATTTCTGCCAGCTGCAGGACAAACTGTGCGAGCATCAACAATGCAGGGTGGCAGGTCAAGTACTGACACTGTGGCTTAGATTTATGAGGATAGAGGTGCATTATTTGACAAATAAATCATGGCCTTCAAATGAAGAGGAACACAACAGAATAATCAGTTGAGGACACGAGTACTGACAATGCTCAAGTGATTTGCTGCTGGAAAAACCTGTAAAAAAAAAGTAAAATAAATTTTGGAAAAAAAAAATGTTTGCTGGTTAATGGTGCATATTTTTGTCATGTCTGCTAGGTATGCCTTTATAGCTTAGCTAGTGACATGAATTCATTGAGGTAAGATTTTTTCCTACCACTGAACACCACTGTGTAGATTGTAATATCCCTGATTCGGATTAGTTTTGTACTTTGTGTTGAGTTTGTGAAGCTAAAAGTATTTAAAAATATAATAAAATCACATTGTACCAAAGCTGTAATGGAAATGAAAAAAAAAAAAAACAACTGAAAACAAAAAGAGAATTACTGAATGGAAGGAATAATTTATATACACTATAGAGTTTTTTTATGGATATATACTGTATTGTAGTGCTTAATCACAATAAAGCTATTTGACCTCATGAAGGAAGGTCATGTTTCTACCACCTGCTTGGTCTCCTCTGTTTCTGAGTGAATTTCCTTTAGTTTCTGCATTGTCTTTTTTCAGGTGAAGCTAATGGGGGAAATTGTGCTTAATGGGCTTAGAGGAGTTTGATTAGAAGAAAGCATAGCTGTATCTCAGCATGAGGTACCATAACAGCTGAGACCACTTTGGAATTGTAGAATAGCCACCCAGGAAGTATTCAGTGAATGTTGGACCAGTTCACCTGTAACTGAGTTTGCAATTTGCCAATCCCTATGACCTGGAATGTTATAAACACAACTCATCTGCTGCAAGCCTCTCCTAAGTCACATCTCTTCAAGAGACCGTACAAGAGTCATACATGAGAAGACATAGTTGTCCTATGATATTCCATCCACTGGATGGAAGATCAGTTAATACTGATGTAGCAACCTCAGTACCCAGCAATCCTGCTCCATAGAGATGATCTACACAATTATTGGTGCTCCAGCTGTGAAGCAATTTTGACAAAAGAAGATGACCCAAAAATCAGGTCTGCCATTTTCAAGTAAGTGGGGATGACTGTTTGGGAGATTGGCTTTTAAAACACAGTGGTTTTCCAGAAAGATTTAGAACTTTTTTTCAGTTCCTGTGGTGCTTTTTGGTTTTATGTCCAACCTCACTCAAATTCCCAGCTTTGTTCTGATAAAATGTTCTTGATTCATAAATGCTGCATGTAGTTCCTCATTTTGCTTCAATGATGATAATATTTGAGACAGAAGTCTGAGTAATTTTTCATTTAAACTTCATTTTTGATCAATTTTAAGCACCTTTACAATAGTTAAAGTTGAGCACTCCAGAATTATGCATATGCACTATGAAAAAAAAATCTTTCTGTGTGTAAAATCTGATTATGACATATATGATTTTAGATATCCAAGATTAGAGCAGCCTACATAGCCCTTGGCCAACATTAATCTGAATGTGAAACAGCTTTAATTTTCCCTTTCCTTTGGTTTCCACTTCAGCTGTGGAAACAGGAACTGGAGGGGCTTCAAATCTGTATTTGAAGGAAACATTTTTCTTTTCTATACAATGAAAAGATACCTTTCAGAGTTCAGTCCTTTTTCTACATATGTGTCATAAAGTGTGGAATCCAGTCCTGTGGGATCATAAGAAAGCCAAAACACTGAATTTTATGTAGTGTAATCACGATTCATTTGCTGAGAGACAGTCAAGAGCATGAGCAGTTAAGTAAACAAAATTCACTTCAATTAGAGGTGAAATGCCTTGGGAGAGACTGCTGATTGATTTTTTTCTTTCCTTCTTTTTTTTTTTTTTTTTAAATCAAGATGCCGCATTTGAATTTTGCCTGTGACCCTGAGCTCTCATTTCAGATTCCCTGCATTGTATGCTTTATTTCCTTTAAGAGTTTCATATGCAACAGGGGTCTCGGTCCTAGCATGGATGTAATTGCATGTAATTAATGCTGTGTTTGCTGCTGTGGCATCACTGACAGCTGAATGAATGGGTTTCCTTCTCTGTCAAGGCTCCAGAGTCCAGCAGGAAGGACCTTGTCGCAGCTGACCTTCTACAGGAAAGGCTGTGTGTGCCCAGGCTGAAGGAGAGGGGAGGGAGGGGCAATCTCTATGCAGCCAGTGTCTGGAACGAGCTGACCCTTTGGTCATCACTATATTTAGATCTCATTTCTTCTCTGAAGCACTACTGTTGCCTTATAAATCTTCCCTGTTGTCAGGGAACAATGAATTAATTGCCTGGTAAAAAAAAAAATCTGCCCTCAGCGTCATAGATCGATGACAAGCTGGGCTGTAGTTGTTCTCAGTAGAGATGGGGAAGGGACTCAAAAAGGAAAGCCTAGGAATCTTGCTTCTGTAGACAGAATTTCCTCATGTCCTTAGGCCACTCTAGGTCATGTCCCCTTGGCAAACAGCATAGCCCATGCCTGACCATGGCCGTGCTTTCCCATGTTACCTGTCTGCTAGCACAATGGTAGAAAACACCTACTTAGCTGTGGGAGCAGCTGCCTGACTTCTCTCAGCCTTGTGGCAGCAGCAGGTACCTGCATACTAATGTTCCTTCCTGCTGATATGATACTTGAACTTTCTTTATGAAATTTAATTTACAGTTTTGGTAGATGGTCACAGCCACCCACTCCAAGATAGCCTACATCCTCTGAATTGTCTTGCTCTCCAAAGAGTTCAGATCTCCTTAGGCATATGAGGAAACTGAATCTGTTCTCCCTCAGCTATGGAGAATGCCCCAATTATTTCAGTATTATGTACATGGGGGAGCCATCTCACATGGTGGTGCATTGTATTTGCTTTATGCTGAAAGAATTTGTATTTGAAGACATGTAGGTAATTTTTCTATGGCAAGTGAAGCAAAAAAAATTTCTCTAATTATCAATCATACTATATTTTCAAGTCTTTATCCTATTTTTGTTCGTTAGTAAAAATATTCTGAGCTGGATTGCTTAGCACCTTTCTGCTATTAAAAAAGAGATTTTTCATCATTATCAGAAGGGGAGGGAATGAGGAGGAAAAAAGAAGTTATTTAAATACATATAACAAAAATGCATAGGAGGAGCTCTGTAGTGCTTTTCCCTCAGTCCTTTGAAATATATGTAGGTAATCTCTGTAAAACGAATGTTGTTGGATTCACATGGCCAGACTTAGCGACTCAGGAACTGGTCACCATGAGTTCAGAGTCCTGCTTACAGTAGTGAAATTGTTCACAGGACACGTGCCTCTCCAGTGGGGATGCTCTGTCTCTGCAGGCTTGTTTTTCTCTAGTCTTCCCTTGGAATTGTGCAGACTCAGGCAGCTGCTCTGTGGCAGCCCTTTTGTGGTGCTATGGACTGTTTGTTGCATTTTTCCTTTGCCTACTGCATACTTGCCTTGTTAATGGTATATTGCTTTCTCCTCCTTTTATGTATTCCATAGCTGATGGAAAGTCCTGCCTAGACCTCATACATATTTAATTTGCCACTCTTTTTTTCTAATTTGTATTGCACTGAGAAAACAAAGAGGCATATCCTGAATTGAGCTGACTCCATCAGATGACACTGATCAGCCTTTTAGATGGCTCTTATTCGTTTGGGCTGTAATTTGCAGAGGCTGTGTATCCTGACAGAAACCAGATGCCATTTGCTATTGTTTTGTCCTTTGTGCTGCCCAAGAAGTCAATGATTTCCTTCTAAAACTGTATTCCCTTGTGTTTCTGTTTAACTCTGGGTGGAAGGCTTCCTGTACTATAGGAAGACTGCACAAATTATCCCAGCAGCAAGGAATGGGAATGTGCAGGGGGCATGTAGAGTAACCAAAGAATCTTGCTCTCTGTGCTCTTAGCTGTTCCATAGCATGGGGATGTGCCCTGACATGGCCACTTAATGCTTCAATACAATTGTTTCACTTGGTGTCCCTGAAATGTGCACACTCAGTGTCCTTTCAGCCCCTCTGTTCACCAGTCTCTTGAGTTATAGCCCATGTTTCCCCTCTGGGTCAATAGCAGAGAAAAGAGTTTGCTCCCTTAATGCTCAGTGGAGAGACTCTGATAGAGGGTGGCACCCAGCCCAGGCTTGGGGTTTTGGCATGTTGTCCCTCAGAGCTCCTCTTGACTGGTAAGGGAGAAGGAGAATAGTCCTTAGTCTCCAAAAGTGTCCCACTCATGTTTAGCCCAGAGACTGTGCTTCAGAAGTGCTCACAGCTTCAACCCCTGCTTAGCTCATGTTGCCTAAAACCACATTTCTGGTGTAGGGCATCACCATCATTTTGGGCAGTGGCCAGCTTGAGGAAAATATTGAGGGAAGCTCAGACTGGTGCTTCAACAGCAATCCTACAGGCTTCAAGGAGGTTGTAGCGAGGTGGGGGTCAATTTCTTTTCCAAGGTAACAATCTATAGGACAAGAGCAAATGGCCTCAAATTGCACTAAAGTTTAGACTGGATAGTAGGAAAAAAAATTCTTCACTGAAAGAGTAGTCTGACATTAAAATTGGCTGCCCAGGGAACTGGGGGAATTGCCATCCCTGAAAATATTCAAAAGGCACATAGATGTGGGACTTAGGAATAGGGTTTAGTGGTGAATATGGTGCTGCTTGATTAATGGTTGAACTCAATGATCTTAAAGGTCTTTTCCAACCTTGATAATCCTATGATTCATATTTCTGTAGCAGGATATAGAAATGCCTTGAGTGTTTGGGAGGAGAAAAAGCCTCGATGAATGCACATTGCCTGCACCTAACAGAGTATGGGTGATGCAGCAGTTTGGGGTATGCCTACTCCCAAATCAGGGCAAAAGAAGACCATTTACAGCTGGATTTTTGCCTCTGGTTTGCTTTAGGAATTGACTATCTTCCCTGCTGGCTCCTTTCATTCTTAAAAAAAGTGCTTATAATGAGCCTTTGGGGCAGATGGTTAAATATTTAATACCATGGAGTGTTTCTGAGGACAGTTGTCCCTGCATTCAGAGAGGAACGTAACTGTTGATGCACTCCTGTATGTTTTGCAGACCATGGATTACACACTCCTGAAAATACAGCTTTCCAGTGCACATCAGAAGGTGGAATCCACCCCCAAACTTCTGGCTCTTTTTACAATATCTCACCAGCTGTGGAAGGGAATGACTCCTCATTTTCTCTCCTGGTATAAGGACTAGGGGACATAAGAGAAATTTTGCCTATTAAACCAGCACTCTCCAAACAAAGGAAACATGATAAGAGTTTTTTTTTCCCCCCCACAAAGTGTTTAGGTGACCTGTGGCATTCCTTGCAGCAGGATGCTAGGTGCCATTTAAGAGATGGGTGGACATGGTCAGAAAAGAATGTTGCACAGAATGAAAGCTGCTAAATACA